CATACATACATACATACACATACATACATACATACACATACATACATACATACACATACATACATACATACACACACACACATATATACATACATATGAATGATGTTTCTTAAAATGTGAGGAGTGAAGACTGCAGGCTAGGTTGTTTAACCTAACTTTTCACTTTTGGGTGAGAAAATAGCTTTGTCTACTGATGTTCAGTATTTTGTCTGAGTATGTTAGCTGTTGTATATAGACTTCTGTCTAAAACCTCAAGTCTATTACTGTTTTAGAGGTGCTTCAGACATCTTGCCCAGGGATGGGTCTGATGTCCACCTGCCATTTGCTGTCTGAGTGGGTCATGACCTCAGACCTCCTTAGCACATTTGTACTGCAGGGCCTGAGTGTTGGGCTCTGTTGTCAGTATTTGTCCCTACTTCTTTCACTCTGTTCCAGCTTGGCAGCCTGTGTGCTGGAGGGATGATGACCCTTTGCGTGAACTTTTCTGCCATCTACCTGGACTCATTCCATAGCAGATGTGTTTCATGTATGAGTAACTGCTTTCCTCTTCCTCCCACAGAGTCTATAGAAGACACAGCAGCAAGACTCCCAGATGAACAACCGAAAGGAAGATATGGAAATCACTTCTCACTACCGGCACCTGCTTCGGGAGCTCAATGAGCAGAGGCAGCACGGAGTCCTGTGTGATGTATGTGTCGTGGTGGAGGGCAAGGTCTTCAAGGCACACAAGAACGTCTTGCTTGGGAGCAGCCGCTACTTCAAGACACTGTACTGTCAGGTACAGAAGACATCTGACCAGGCCACAGTAACTCACTTGGACATTGTCACAGCCCAGGGCTTCAAGGCCATTATTGACTTCATGTACTCTGCCCACCTGGCTCTCACCAGCAGGAATGTTATTGAGGTGATGTCAGCTGCCAGCTTCCTACAGATGACTGACATCGTGCAGGCCTGCCATGATTTCATCAAGGCTGCACTGGACATCAGTATCAAGTCAGATGCCTCAGATGAACTCTCTGAGTTTGAGATTGGCACCCCAGCCAGCAACAGCACAGAGGCACTGATCTCAGCTGTGATGGCTGGAAGGAGCATCTCCCCATGGCTGGCTCGGAGAACAAGTCCTGCCAATTCTTCTGGAGACTCTGCCATTGCTAGCTGTCATGAAGGAGGGAGCAGCTATGGGAAGGAGGACCAGGAACCTAAGGCCGATGGCCCTGATGATATTTCTTCACAGGCTTTGTGGCCTGGAGATGTAGGCTATGGGTCTCTGCACATCAAGGAAGAACAGGTTTCGCCATCACATTATGGAGGGAGTGAGCTTCCATCCTCTAAGGACACTGCAATACAGAACTCTTTATCAGAGCAGGGTGCTGGGGATGGCTGGCAGCCCACAGGCCGGAGGAAGAATCGGAAAAACAAAGAGACTGTCCGACATATCACGCAGCAGGTAGAAGAGGACAGCCGGGCTGGCTCCCCAGTACCCTCATTCCTGCCAACATCGGGATGGCCTTTCAGCAGTCGAGACTCAAGTAAGCCTTTCTTGTGACAGGCTGGGTGCAGGTGGCCAAGTCACTGTGTTGACTGTGGCCCAGGTCATGCTGTTGGTGACATGGCACATTCCCACGCTCACACTACTGGTTTCCCGTGGTTGCCTCCTATCACAGTAAATTAGTATGACTGCAGGAAATATGACCTACGTGTAACAAAGGCTAAGATGACTTTGGGTCCTTAACAGCCCTGGTATGTCTATCCCATCGATACAGCTCCAGTATGGAGAGGTTGCCTGAGTGCGGCTTCCATGAAACAAGTAAGACAAGCTACAGGGTCTGTAGTTGAAAGAGTAGGGAGACAGTTGGGAAAGGTCATCATTTTGAGTTGTCTGCTTTTCCATTTATCACACCTTTCCTTGGTACTGTCAGGGCCACCTGGAAAGTCACTAGAGTGTTTCTCAGCTCTATTCCCCACCCCAGACCTCTGCTTGGCTCTCGTAGTGTTTGGTCTTCAGTTTCTTGCTGCCTCAAACTGGGATGTTGGTAACTGAAAACAGCTTCACAGTGAGGGGTAAATGTGTCTTGTGGCTCAGTGGTCACAGGCATGTACTACTCCTGCTGAGGACCCAAGTTCAATCCCCAGCACCCATGTCTGGTGGCTCCCAACTGCCTGTAACTCTAGCTTCAGAGAGGTCTGATACCTCTGGCCTCCATAGGCACCTGTACTCATGGGCATACACCAGCACCCACATACTTACATTTTTAAAACTTTTATTATTTTTTAAATCTTAATCACAAGTGTATGCAATGAGTTGGGATTATATGTGCACATGACTCCAGGTACCCACAGGGGCCAGAAGTAAATGTGAGCTTCCCAACGTGGATGTTGGGAGTCAAACTTGTGTCTTCTGCAAGAACAGTATACTCTTAACTGCTGAGCCATCTCTTTAGCCCCCTCTGCCTTGTAAACATTTTTAACTGAGCAGTTTACTGGCATTAGATATATTCACGTTGTACTATTATCCATCTCCAGAACTTAAAAAAAGAAAGTTTTTAGATTTGCTTATTTTGTATGAATGTTTTGCCTGCACTTACGTATGTGTGTCATGTGTGTGCTTGGTGCTAGTGGAGGTCGGCAGCGGCTATCATACACCCTGGAACTAGAGTTAGCTGATTGTTGTGAACCATCACATGAACACTGAGAATTAAACCTGGGTCCTTTACAAGAGCAACAAGTGCCCTTAACCACTGACCATCTCTCTCCACACACTTCAGTTTTATTTTTAAAGGGCTCATTGCCCTGTGTTTCCAACACTGAGCCACCAAACACGGAGCCAGAGCCAGATTTTGGCATGTTTGTAAAAGTTGGTTCTCTCAGCGTTGCTCCACCTTGGGCTGAGTCATTCTCTGTGCTGGTGTCCTGGGGATGGGAGGTCTGTGCCCACAAGGTATCAGTGGCATTTGACACAGTTGTGACAGCCACAAATATCTCCTGACATGTGCACTTGTCTCCAAGCAGCCCCGTGCTCCCTAGGGGTGGACTGAACTGAATCAGAAGAGTATCAGTCATTTCCTGATAGTTGTTCCTGTGGAGAGGCTCTCCAAGCAATGGGCATGGCTGGTGTGATGTCTGGTTCCTGGATTTGCTAATAATCTTTCATCAGTTCTGACCCAAACCTGCTGAATGCTGAGACTTTTGGGGCACATTTTGAGGCTCACAGATGTTGGAGGCCATCTTCCACTTGTCTCAGAATATATGTGTGTGCCCAATTAGTTTTTCTGTAGGTGACAATACTGGGGCATTTATCCCATGGGAGTCAATGGTAAATTAGTAAGTGGAACAATCCCAGAGCCTGTGGGCTGGAGGTTTCAAATGCAGTCATCGAGCAGAAGGTGTTTTCGGAATCCAACAAGTGATTTTGGCTGTATACTTTCTTAGTCCTAAATCCTTGGGTTGCCAAGGCAACTGTGAACTGCTTTTGCTTGGGGATTCTGAAGGCTGAGATAAGGATGTGAGGTGTAGGCTGGAGCGTGGGATGCTTCCTGCATGTCATGGTAGTGTGTCATTCGTTGAGCCTCTGCCACTCTGGTTCTCAGATTGATTAGGAAACATGAATCATGACACTTGATGGAGGTCAGTTTGTTTTCATTAAAGAATAAGAGATTGATATATTATTTATAGGGGAAAAGGCTCTTCTTAAAGGCACCCATCAGGTAGACATGTCAGGTGCCATTGGGGCTTTCTGAGCAGTTGCTCAGATGTGAAACCTGGTCCTCGCCACTTGTCCTCTCTGTGTCTCCATCTCAGCTCCTGGTGGCCCCTGAGACCACTCAACTTTTACAAGTGATTTTCTAAACAAAAAGTCAAATGCATTATAACCCAGTGATAGCTGGTGGAAATAGCATTCAATAAGCACATTAGTTGTGCATGTCCATGTGATGGACACAGGCAAGCCTTCTGGCTGAGGACCTTCCATCTCTCTCTAAAGCCTCCCCTGATCCATCTGCAGGGCAGTTAGGGATGCTTCTGTGAGGTGAAATTGTGTCTGACAAGCTCAGGGATGGTGAAGAAACATTCTAGGGCCCCCCAGCCACACACATTCCTAAAATATACAGCAAGCATCAAAATGTAAGCTATTTTAAAGTTAAAGGTTTTGTTGAGTTAATGTACTGGACTTTAAGAAGATTGAACCTCTGCATGTTGGAATTTTTAAGGATACATCAGGATCTCAGTGCAGTTCCAGCTGAAGATGGGGAGTCTGTGGCATTCGGTGTTGACCATACTCTGTGGCACCTCCCTGCTTGGGTGATGGACGGCATGGGCTTTCAGGATGAGTTCTTTTCGTTCTTCTCTGGATCACATACAGCCTACATTTCCCTTCCCAGGTCATCCCTGGCAGTGAATGGGAACTGGAGTTAGGGGTTCAAAGCCTCCTAGACCATCATAGCCATCCTGGTCCACACAACATAGCTGAGAGAACGTAACAGGAACTAAAAACCATGTGAGCTTATCTTTTGCCCATATACTGGTTTGATGATCTGCCATGGCTGTGCAGAGTATTGCAAGCACTCTAGTTCTGGTGCTGGCTGGGCCTTGGACATCACACTATTGGTAAGGTTACCTTTTCATGATGTAGTTTAGACAATGTAACAAATTTGATCATCATCATTTTTTTTTTAAATTCTTCTCTTGTACATTTCGTCCTGACCACTGTTTCCCCTCCTTCCACTCCTCCTCCATTTCCCTTCAGAACTGATCATCTTTGTGAAGAAAATTGTCTGTGCTCGGTGTGGCTTTGAGCAAAGAGATTAGCATGGCTCTGAGGGAAAAGGTGACACCATCTGCTTCAGTCCCCCCACACTCCACATCCCATGGCACTGCTCTGGGCTTCGTCTCACCTGTGTGGTTTTCCTCCCGATATGACTGACAGAAAGCAGCTCTGATTGGAGCATGTTGCACTGTGTTTAGCGTGGCAGCTGGCAACCACACAGGCAAAACTGCCCTCTTTTGGATGGCTTTGTTGAAATGAAGACCTGGCGCTGAAGTGGGAGAGTTTATTACCCCTTCTTGTCATGCCACAAAATAGAGAAGTAGGCGGGAACAAGAGGCGAGTGCAAGCATAGGTCAGAAACTTGGGGTGTTGTGGGAAGAGATGTCCTGGCATTCGGCGGTGCTTATGACAGGCTGAACTCCAGAGCTCAGTCACATTCTTACAGACCCAGTGCATACAAAGTGACTTTTCATCTTATGGGGAGGGGCTGCTGGACTCAGGCCCACGACCTTCCCTTTTGCACCTCTGAGCAGTACTCTGTCAGAGCCTCCTTGTGATCCTGAAGGGTTTCATTGTCCTTCCCTCTGCAGGCTGAGCTCTGATGGAATTGCTTTGCATTGTCATGGTGTTTTTAAAAATGTTGGATTTACAGATGGTGAACTCAAAAGGGTTTCTATGGACATAGACCAGTCTAAACATTCTTTGAGATGAGGAGGCGAGGTGAGTAGTCACCCTGTGGTACCTGGGCAGAGTTGATGGTCTATGGTTCCCACCAGAAAAGTCCAGGTAGTGCCTCCTGGTCTGGTGTAGTCACCTGGGCTGAGGAATGAACAGACAGCTGTATGGAGGGATATGCTTCTGGGAACCCAGAAAGCCGCATGTTAAGGTGACAGTAGGCAGAGCACTGGCACCCCCAGACTCTGCAGGGATCTTTCTGGTTTGTTGCAAAGAAGGCAGATTCTGGTAGGATGCCCAGTTAGTGGAACAGTCTCCTTTGAATTGAGTTGCCCTTGTCTATGGTAATATTTATTGTTTATTTTACTTTGTTTCACTAGGGTATCTCACTCTGTAGCCCAGGCTGGCATTGATTTTATAGCTTTCCTGCCTCCACACCTCAAGAGCTGGGGTTAAAGGTGAGGGCTTATGGTGGTGCCTGCCAGTGGTTTATTTCCTAGTGTTATACAGATCTATAGTTTGATCACCATGTTGTACTCCAAGCGAAGAAGCATCATTGTCAGGTTCCTACAGAGAGACACTGCCTTCAAGTTACTCCCAGGACCTAGTTTCTCCTCCAGCAGCTCCTGTGAGATCTTCACAACCAAACCTCCACATCTGGAGTATGCATGGAGTTGTTCTTTTTGCCACTCTCCTATGAGGCCCCTGGTTGGGTCCTTTCTTGAGCCTTAAGTTTTATCCTCTTTTTCTAGCATCCATAGACTATGCCACAATAGTGCTGTGCCGATGCTGGAGCCTAGTGAGCTGGCCCAGACTAGCCAGTGATGCTGCGTCTCATAGCAGCATGCCTCATACAAATCGAGGAACTTACTTATGTTAAAATATTCAGGCTGACGGAATTTCTTTTTTTCAAGGTTCCAAAATCTGTAATAATTCAGATTAAAACAGGTATATAAATGAGAAAGCAATTTATAAACTTACACCTAATGAGTTTATTTACTTGTACTATTAATGATTGTTTTTATTTTATGTGCATTGTTGTTTTTCCTGCATGAGGGTGTTGGATACGCTGGAACTTAAGTTACAGACAGT